ACTCCTTTCTTCGCGACGTTAGAGCAGACGCTCTAACTACTAGTACTGCTTCAAGTGGGTGACTAAAAAACTCGTAAAACAGTAAGGTTATTCTCAGCAGCGATCATTCTTCTTTCATCATAAACAGACTGAGATTTCCTGAACTGAATGCTGGACATCAATGGCTTTGGACGAAGTTTTGTCGATTTTTTTTTCTCCGGTGAGACTTCATACTTGTAGGCGTTAGAACGGTGGGTGGCTAGTGGCAGTCTGATCAAAACCCCTGCAATCTCCTTCCACTTATAAGAACGAGTAAAAGGATAAGGGATTGGATTTAATCGGATTGGGCGGGAGAGGGGCTAAGCTCTTTTTTCCTACTTGAGTGACCCGGGTGACCTATTCTATCTGTATTTGTCCGTCCTCGTTCGTCGTCAACCGCTCAAAAACTTTTGAACATTTTAAACTTTTTTTCTGGAACCACAGAACCCATTTTAACCAATTTTGGCATATAGCATTTATGAATAAAGGAGACTAAAAATTTTGAATTTCATGGCCCCTGCCTTCGTTGGGTCTGAGGAATGGGGCTAAAATCATTCAAATTAATGCAGCCTTTGAAAATCTTTTTATTTCTGGACGTGAGGCAAGCAAACTGTTGGAATAATTGTAATAAGCATTGAGCTCTTTACCAAAATTGTGAAATTCATGAACCCTAGGTAGGGGCTGATGAGCTCAATTTATTATATAGTAAAAAATGCATTAATTCTTTGAAAATTTTCTCCTCTGGTCCTGAACCGGGTACATGTATTATGCCCATGATCTAATTACATAGCTATGATGATCAAGGGTGCTTCTTCAAGAATTGTAAATTTCAATGTCCCTGGGTCAGGGGTTCTGGTGTAAGGGTGAGGATTTAAGATAATGTGGTAAAAATGCATTATTTCTTTGAAAATCTTCTGTACTTCTGGAGTCGCCCCGAGGCGCAGTGGTTAGAGCGTCTGCTCTGGAGTCGCGAAGTAAGGAGTTGATGAAACCGAGGTCCCGTGTCGCAGTATAGGTGCTGGCACGAAAAAAGATCCCTCACTGCTCAATGGCACTGAGTGCCGAGTATAGGATTAAATTTTATAGCTCTCCATCGGCAAGGGTTGGAGTCTCCATATGGCTGAAAAAATCTCGAGAGGGGCGTTAAACAACATACAATCAATCTCTGCTTCTGGGTATTTAACCAAATAACTAAGTGCTTAGTTATGATGATGAAGGCTGCCTCTTCGAAAATTGTGAATTTCATGGTGCTAATACAAGGGGCATTTCAACATACATAAATGTACAATTTAAACATTCTTTTTCTTTTTTTTAAACAATATAATTTTTTAAACAGTTATATAAATGACCAAGTTACATAATAATATTGTTCTCAGTGTCACTGATCATACATAATACAAGTGTCCAGAAGAATGTCGATGATCACAAAGCAATACAGAAATGTGATGCTATTCATGTATAAATTTAAATGGCTTAGCATGCATAAACATGGTGACAGAATCTATGTAATTATACATTGGTTCTTTTACCATTTTCAGAAATAAATTTTCCAAGTAAACATAAAATTTCTTTATTTTCATTATTCAATATCCATATCAGTTTTTCAGCAGGTGTCAAAGAAGAAGAGTTTTGGTTGATTTGTTAAATGTGTGACCCCAGGGTCAGAGGTTGCTATGAAGTGAGGCACTACTGCTTAAATTTAATGCATTTTCCCTTTGTTTCTCAGTTCTGCCTCTGGGTATAAAGTATGATCAAAGTAAGCCTCAATCATAATAATGAATTATAAATGAAACATTTAATTGTTGAAAATAAACAAGTAAACAATAAACAAAGTGAAATAAAAGGGAAATTGAAATAAAAAGTTCGAATTTATCACACTTATTTGGATGTTACAAGAAAGTATATTTAAATATGTCACAGGCTACTTATTTTACCCCATTTCATTGAAAAGTTGATAAAACGAACCGTAAACGACATATTTCAAACCATCTGTATTTTTTCAGTTAAGCAAAATAAAATAACCACAATGTCAATCAATGCCTATGGCTCATCATTTCGGAAATAACCCAATTGAGCGGAAGAAATCTTCGTCATATGTTGATGATCATAACATCCGATTGGAAAGCGCTTGCCGATGTCTAGGAAAAGCTAATTCGACGGACTTTGAACAAATGTATAGAATTGTTGCAGGGCAAAAAATATTTTTAAATGAAATAATAATAACAGAAAAAAGTACTTTAAGACAAGAGGAAAAATATACACATTTGCATTAAGCATTGTCTGACGCTGATACTAAAACAAGTCCCACGGAGAAAATTAGTCCCACTTGAGTCCTACGTGAGTCCCACAGCAAAAGAGCGAATAAAAACATATAATAAAGGTTTATTTTGAAAGAAAATCATATCTATATGATCATACATCAAAAAAAGTTTTGATCAAATGTTTTTAATGTGTTAAATAGACGATTGTAAATTTCAGACCACAGTCAAGAACGATAACTCTGTTCAAATGTAAACAATGGCCAAGAAATATTTTGACAATGCTTGATCACCGCTGAAAGCTAACTTTTTTTTCTTAAAAAAAAAGATATTTGTTAAATATTTTTTTTAGTAAGGAAGTTAAATTAATATGGTGTTATTTCTGAATTTAATATATATTCTTCTGTTTTACTTGAAGTTTCGTTTTAAAATATTCTTCCAACGTATATTAACGTTATATAAAACTTAAAGTACATTTTATTTTATTCTAGTATAATATTACTTTATTTCTTACAAAATAAAATAGTTTTACTGTGGTTTTAAGTATTTTAACAACAACTTGTTAAGTTTTCCTCACACCCATGTTTATTGTGTATATACACAGACACCTGTAGAGATACGTCCCTGGTATACCTGTACACAACACCTGGGGGATGTTATTCACACCTTTCAATCTCCCTGTTGTTTGTATACCTATTACAATAACTTTTGAACAAGGCTGGGGCTAGGTTACACCATTTTGAATACAAATAAAATATTTAATTAAATGTAGAATTATTGAAATTTCAGCTACTATTATGCATGACAAATAAGGTCATGATAATCAAAAAGTTTCATATTTGATTTCATAGATAAAAACATTCTTTGAAAATTGAATTAATAAAGAATTGTTTTAGAATAGACATAGTCAGCATAAACTGTATTGTAAATTCTGATTTAATTTATATGATACATCTTAAAGTACATTCTTGCAATTTGAATTGTATGAAGAGACTCAAAATAATAGTGTTATAGACAAAACCATTGAAGTTTTGTATTAATTTGTAGAACATATACCACGAAAGAAGTAGCTGTTACATGTATATATCCTTTTTATTTATTAAAAAATGTGTTCATCATCCATCATGTAAATAAGATAAAACTAGTACTATAGATTATCAAAGCCAGTAATACTCCTAGATATGGAATTTGTCAATAAAGAGTATTTTTTAATAAAGTTGGAATTCTATAGTGATTTGATTGACAACATATATGTACAAACAAAAAAAATTAAACAACATATTTAGAAGTTGAATTTAATTTTGATCTGAACGAAAAGTTTCTTTTTTGAAGAACGGATTAAAAAAAAAACAGACTTCAATAGCCAAACATTATAGTCCATAACTTAGGTTCTGAAATCCTGCAGTTGCGTTATTGAATGTCAGCAAATTCAAAAATTAAGTAAGCATAAAGTAAGTAATTATTTATTATAGTACACGTGAAGTTGTGCATTATAAGAATTGTAATTTACACCGCAAACAAATAAACAAACTAAAGCTGCAGTCTAATAAGAAGTGTTTTTCATCTTCGACAGAAGGACTTGAACAGAATTAAAACACATAATAATAAACACATTTATTTTCCATAATTTCATCATATTCATCAAATATTTTTTCAGGATACCTGAATACAAGCCTGTGCATCTGAGTACTAATTCTCTAATTAACTGGAAGTTTTTCACAATATAAGTATATCTTTAAGGGATGAAAACACAGCTATCTTAGCTCGAATTCTGATTTTTGCAGTTTGATTCCTCATTTCACTCAATTGTTTAAAATACATACAGTTTAATGTAATAAAAAAAAAAAATTAAGATATCATTAAAATACTCGTATATCACTGTTGTCAGCTATAAATCACTTCCAATTTCATATCATGTTATGAATGAGTAAACTAGTTCACTTTCTATATCTATAAAACAATACTTGTAGGTCTGTATAATTTCCTAGGACTGCATATTATAGTCGTAATTTTCAAAAGAAAGAATGGCTTTAGATTATTGAGCTAGTGCATTGCACATATCAATTAAAAATCTCTTTCTCATATGTTTGATAAATACAAGACTAGCATTGAAAAAAAAATCATTGAATTTCCCAAGGTTTGATATTGTAAAATTGTTAAATTTATATAAAATTTGATTGAAAATGTCTGTTTTTGGTAGTAGTTTTTTTTACCAGTCGTTAGAACTGCTACAGAAGGCATATAAATCCTGGAACATTGTGAAAGTTGCATAAAATCTTTAAAATTAAAATTTGGATGACTTGTTACTTCAATACTTGAGGCAGATGTAAGAGTTATTACTCTTTGTTTATACACGATCATTAGAAAACATCTTTGAACTTCTTGCATTTTTAAAAATATAATTAATTTAATAATAAAATTATAATATCTATTAATATATGTTTTCAAAAACTACTAAAATGTTATCATTATCGTTGGGATTATGAGGATATAAATGTAGGAGTTATCGTTCTTTGTTTTTGTAACTAATCGTTGTAACCGGCTTCTAAAACATTTTTTTGACAAAATTTTATTCGAAATATATCTAAACAATGATAATCTATAAAGATATGTTGTTAAATATCAATAAAATGTCATATTTCCTGGTGGGACTCATTATTTTTCTGTGGGACTCATGTGGGACTTATTTTCCCCGTGGGACTTGTTTTAGTATGTCCCTTGTCTGACTCGGAGATGGAAATGTACATTATTGCCTTTTGTCTACTTACTGGTGTGTTCCTTGCAGCAGTGAAGCTTTACCAAGTGTCCATCAAAAAACCTTATAAATCCAGTGTCAAACTTCACGGAAAGACGGCCATTGTCACGGGAGCAAATACTGGTAGGTTGGACTAATTACTTTTAAAAAAAAAAGGGGGGGGGTATTCTGTAAAACAACATTTTTATCAAAAATCCAAGTTAATAAACATATGATTTATTAATGATCACAATAAGTCTTTAAATAAAACAAAAAGAGAAGATTTTGTAATGTAAAGATACTCAATTATAAAAAAACTATAAATTATCGTTTTAAAAATGGATTATCTCATTATCAGTCATGATGGCAAATTATTAAATAAAGTCCGATCAAAAAGTTCATAATTGATCCTTTATAAGGCAGAGACTTAACCAAATAGAGTGATATTAATATATGGAGGTCACTGCATAGACTATTTAGTGAATTCAGTCTTTTACTTGATCTGTAAAAAGCTGCATATACCAAGATTTCCCATAAAGCAGATTCTTTATAATTAAGTTTTACTAGTTTATTACACTGATAAGTAATCTGGTAATAGGAGTTGTGGTAACTAGCTTTCTAGTTGATGACAAGCTTCATGATAAGGGACATCTACCAGCTAGGGTTCTATTCCTATAAGGCCTTAAAACTGAGACAAGTTTAATTCTGATTTCAGTCTTGATTTTCTACTATTAATTCCTAAGGTAAAAGTAAGACTGAGATAAAAAATAGACGAACTTGTCCAAGCTTAAAGCTTTATGGCTCTTGAGTCATATCAAACCAAAGACATCCATTAGATGTATCAAGGATTCAAGTTAACTCAAATCATAACACCCTCCCCCTCTTCACCTTTTAGGGGTAGGCTGGGACCACGTGCATTTTAAGCTTTCCAAAATTGGATTGAATTTTGTTTTTACCCAGCCACAGTGCTCAGTTGAGCGATGTGGCCCATGGACCTCTTGTTTAAAAAAAAAAACCTTGACCACAACTTTTGAAGGGTTAAGGCAAGAGCTTTCATACTTCACATATTTAATCCATGTGAGAAGACCTTTGATTGGATACCAAGAACTTTGGCCTTGACCTTGGACTCTTTGAAGAACTTTCATATAGTTTTGCCATAACTTTTGAACAGTTATGGCTATGGCTTTCATACATCACATATATAATCCTGGTGACAAACCAACAACTCCGAACCTTTCACCTTGACCCTGGAGTTTGATCTACCTTTCAGAAACTTATCATTGGCCATAACTTTTGAAAAGATGATGCTAGGGCTTTCATATTTTACAATTTGTATTTCTTGTGAGAGGACCTTACTTTTCCTTCCAACAAATTTAATTTGCATTAGAGAAATGTATGTAATAAAATTATAGTGGAATTGAAGATTGATTTGATTTTAGGATTAGGATTTTGGACAGCTCTTGATTTGGCAAAGAGAGGAGCCCATGTCATTTTGGCTTGTAGAAACTTGCAAAAAGCAGAAGAAGCAAGGAAAAAAATTCTGGAGGCACTAGAGGGTGGGGGTGATGTAGTGGTCAGGCACTTGGATCTGAGCTCTATGAGGTCTGTAAGGCAGTTTGCTAGAGAGACATATGAACAGGAAGCAAGACTGGATATTCTCATCAACAATGCTGCAGTGTCAGGTAATAGTGTTATTTATTATACTTCTGTTAAAATGTTTCCTATATAAAGTTCAGAAGGTAAAATAGCTATCTTTTATAGTTCATGCATAGCAAAACTATACCCCGGGGTATAGTTTTTGCTATCCACCCTCGTAAAATTTTCATGCAATTTTTGCCTACAATTTTGATTTCA